TATTCTTCAGCGATGTAGTTGGAACGACCGCTAAATCCACGATTTCGACAAAAAGTAATAGCTCAAATTGTTTGCCATTGAGGAATTATAAGAGCCAACAACAGACAGATATGTGAAAGCTGCTCAGTGGAAAGTACTAGACGTAAATTTCACTAGGATTTTGATATTGTTACCATCGAATCTCTTTCAACCGCTAGGCTGTCCTATTTCCAACAAATGGTGGGTGTTCTCAGATTTTGATAAGCAGCCGACACTGGCAAATGTTCATTAAAAAAGAGAAATGCAAATACAATCGTAAGCCAAGTGTTAGTGGGCAACACAGTAATCCCGACAGTGACCAGTACCATGTTAACCATGCGCGCAGTAGTGCGCGACAGCCAAACTGGTTTAATTATAAAGGTCGAATTCCTATCCTCTATTGTTGTTAACAATGTGAAATGAAGCTGTATGAAATTTCAAAAGTTTTCACCAAACACCTCCAATAGTGACAACCTCCTCCCATGCTTGCAAAGTCAAAGAAAAACGACCTGAAACAATCAAATTGAAACGCATGAGTGTCTTGACCTACCGTCCGAATCCGTCCATCCGTAATCTGTAAAAATCGGTTTAAAAAATGGTAGGGTGGTAATGAAGGCCCTTCTATATAAGGAGAAGGGTAGCTATAAGGACTCGAGCCAAAACTCGAAAATAGTGTACCCTAAGTTCGGCGCATACAGCCCACTTCTCTCGTCGCCGCCCATGCAAAGGAATCGTTGTAGGCAGGTCACGCACGCGGCATTTCCTCTAGCACTAGTTGATTAAACGTGACAGAGCACCACGTCAACCATGAATGGAGCAACTATCTGCCGCCGCTCGAGCAACTCGATCGCCCGCAGGCGGGAGCACGGTGATAGAAGGGTCACTTTTTGCTCCCAAACATTTTCACAGCAGCAGGCGACGATGAAGAGGCAGTGGTGGCGGTAAAAAAAATGCGTTCATACTGCGACGTTGTCACTCTGATAAGGCGGCGATCAGCACGCAGCGGATCGCGCTAACTTGCAGGCAATGCTGGTTGATCGTGTACGTATATTTAGTCTGCTGAGGAAAAGAAGGGGAGAGGAGGAGCTGTGCTCACCATGTCGGTAAAAACATTCATAAGAAGCCACTTTATTATCCACAACAGGAAAGTGCATAGACAAAAAAGACGAGGCCACAAAGGAATAAAAAATATGTCCTAATTATTTTCTCATCTGCAGCATAGGATAGATATGAAGTTGTTCTAAAACTTTTGTAATTCGCATAAGATGATAAGGAGAGAGTTTAGCAAGTCAAGAGCATGGCTGGATTAGATAGAACATTAATCAAAATAGATAAATGATATGTACGCTATGCTATGTCCAAAACAGCTTGCACTCTAGCAAATCCTTGGCCTGTCCCTAGGTAAACCTACAGTCAGCTACAAATACCAGCTTTTACTATTGCGGACGCTGAGGCCGCATCAAAGGGTGGGAGGCGGCTGGGTGGTGGCGTGGCCCGAAGTCCAGTTCTTCACTAAATTGTGTGTCCGCCTTACCATAAACAATGGAGCGGTGCCGCGCCAGCCCCTACCCGCCAGCCTCCCCCAAATCCTGACACCCAGCGCAAACAATGGTTGGCGAAAGAAGCAGATTATAAGATGGAAACAAAGTGAACACAGAATCAGAAGAAGTTGCGAGTACAATTGAACAAACAACTGTGTGGCAGCACTATGAGCGCCATGAACGAAAGCTCAAAGAAATTGAAAAATCATTGGCGCAACTCAGCAATTTCTTGCTTGAGCGCCTCACAATTCATTGATAACTGCTCCACACGCAATCTCTTCGCTTTGAGTGGTTTCACACGATCTTTCTTCGCGTTCAATTCTTCTGCAGTAATATGGGCATTACTCAACACAGATCGTATAGCATCTCGACTTGACATAAGCCTCTCCTTCTGAAAAAATAGTACTATCGGAAATACTCGGCCTATTCAATTCTCGCACTCCCCCCCCCCAACCAAAAAATCATCTAGAAAGTTCGAAAAAGTTTCCGTTGAACTTTTGCCCTGGGGCTACTCGTTGCCCTGAGTACGAATATCAAGTCGGTTTTTGGCGACTGCGCCACTTGACGCTGTTAGACTTCACTAGTTTTTTTAGACTTAATCTGCACATTTTGGTTATTGAGCACATATATTGTGAATATGTCTTTTATTCTTGGCCCTAATTACTTAATGTCCTGACTACGAATATAGTAGTAAACATTTTTGGCGATGAACCATTTAACGGCAACAGGCACCAATTTGGCACTATCACATTTCCCCCATTCAAATCTATATCGATTCGCAAACAACGGTTATGTAGGGTCCTTCACAGAAAAGACATTCGTTTCTAGCGCCGAAACTAGCTTCAAGACATAGCCCACGATCTCAGATAGTGTACAATTTAGCTTAAATACGAACAACGGGTACTAGCTAACTAAGCAGTGAAGAAAAAAAGTAGAAAAAACCGTCCGGAACGCCCTGTATAGGAACCCTTCCGACGACAGCTTGAGGGTGCATCGTTACGATGTAAACTCTTTTCCGTTATTACACCATTTGGAATAGTGGGAGTTAAGGAATCACTAGCTAGTGGGTAGTAGCCTGTAGGGGTCGGCATGAGCCTAAAGGGTGCTCACGGGTCTAAATGTTCAGCTTCCACTAGAATTATTGCGAAGGATGGGAAATCACTCCTCTGTGCGGCTCAGCTCTATCAGAACGCCACACAGCGCTGGCGCGCACAAAGTAGGCGCCGCGGTGCCGAACAGTGCTTGCCTTGAAAATGAATGGTGTAATGGTTCTCAGAGGATGCAAAAAACTTTCGCTAGCCGATTCCCATTTCAATGAGGGGAAGTAGAGTGCAAATTCAAGGCCGGTGCTATATGCAAATGCGAATGGATTTTATATGCGTCACCAGGATGCCAAATAACCCAGTCGCAAATTTATTCCGATTTTTGAGGAAAATGTGATAGCGCTCACCTGGCCTTTCATAACTGTCAGCGTCAAAAGCGGATGTTGTATTCATAATCAGGACATGAAATCAGCGTGCGAGTTTACGGTGGTTCTGCTTATAAAGGTGACAAGCAGTTCTCATTGGCGTCACTTGGATAACTTCTATAGTCAGTGTTTCAGCAGCTTTTTTTCTAGTTTTTGAGGTGGTGCCCTGTTTCCTGGTTGGAATGCTTGAATGCTTTTTTTCGCATGGTCGCGACAACCGCAATAATGCAAGTTTAATGGGGTTCAAAGGACCGAGGTCCGTCGAACAGACATAGCAGCACATCATGGTGGGAATAGGAAGAACGGGTGTAGTTCAGCTGAGATGTACTACTGTCGCCGAAATCCATCAGAAGGTGGGGGAAGGAGTTGCGCTTGCTCTCGAGAAGACCTTTACGCCTGCTGGTTCTCTCCTACATGCGCCGTACCCTCCAAACCCATACCGGATTTTTCAGCGCAACGAAACTACTACTGACAGTTGTTAGGAAAATTGGAAAAGTTTGCGTATACTCTAGCTCGCTGCGAATAGAGGGGCGTGTCAAGTATTAGGTTGACGGGAAAGTTCTGTCACTTTTTCAAATTGGGGTTTCTTTTTATAGAGAGGAGTGTGGGATCAAAATTGTACAGCAATGTTACTGCGGGGTCCTTGCCAGTTTTTGAGCACCTCATGGATGCCATCGCTTCACAATGCAGGGAGGCACGACGCAAAGTTGGACACCATCTCAACCTCGACTTGAACTTGGGTTATGGAGGTTTTCTCGTCCGCATAACGATCGATTACGGAAGGCAACTTGCTATTAGAAGGGGCGATGTCTGTGCTACACAGTGCAAGGGGAGAGAGATCAAGCTCCATTGCATGAGGTACGGCTCGAACTTTTTGGACCAAGTGCGTTGCACTATCTTGGTGAGGGCCGGCTGTGCGGACAAATTTTTCCCTCTGATCCACGATACGCTTTAGATCTCGTAGCTTTGCGTACGCATTGACCGAAGGAAGCAGCTTCTTCATCCAGCAGTTTCCCGACCCACAGCTCCCTCAAGCTGAGTTTGCAGGTAACCCAAACCTCACTTCGTCATCAAAACTGTAGGCTCCCGCCTGAAGCGTTACTGTCGTGGTAAGGTTGCCCGATGATTGAGGGCATCGTGCTTATTCAGCTCCATTATTTTGGCATCTGCAGCTAACACGCTGGCGTCAGGGTGGTGGGAGAAAGAGTTTGAGGAAGCGTTTGGAGGGGTCGGTGCTGATGGTAGCGGATAAAATCCTTGTGCATATTGCAGAAGAAGAAGCAAGAGGCAAGCGAGTGGTACTAATAGAAAGACACTACTCTTGGTAATGAGCAAGTAATTTGAGTTCGAAAAAGAGTGACAGAACTTTCCCGCCAACCTAATAGTATGAGTGTGCCGCGGAACCGAACTCGTTCCCTGCCAGCTGTTGAAGCTATGCCACAACAACTGGTCAAAAACGATCAAAACCTTAGTTCGGGAGGGGCCTGCTCACACTGCAATTTTGTACCAATCCCGGCGAGATACTCTGAGCACAGCACAATTGAGTCACGGCGAGAGTGGCAGAAAGACCTTACAAGAGAGGTCATTCGTGTAAAGACCACTCACACAGTGCGGCGACGCCGCAACGTGTCAAGTCGTCTAGCTAGGAGAGTTCTGCTTGGTTGCGCGCATTGCGTCTCAGATGTCATGCATTACTCCTAAAGAAATCACTGGAAATATAGGAATACAGTATCGAGCAGCAGGACTGTCTTTCACATCTTTAGAGCTCACCATAGAAACAGTATGAGCACCTCCAGAAAACCACTTGATTCTAGCGCCAAGGGAAGGTTTTTCTCGCTTCTTTTTTGGAACAGTTCACGTAGTACACAATGGTCCAAGTATACCCCACCTAAATACTCCCCAAAGTGTCGTTGGCCCCTCTCAACCTCAGCACAAGCCCATGTGCACCCAAGCGCTACATCAGCTCATGGATATCACGCCATGTGATTAAAAATAATGAAAGAAAGCGAAAAATAGTGCTCTCGCCTGACCTCAGCCAACAACTTCCTTGCGAGTTCAACCTTTTCCATGTCCACTTCATCTGCAAAGTAAACGTTACAGTGAATGATATAAAACCACGTTAAAACAATAAGACTTAAGCAACAACCTGAAATAATATTTATTTTATTCACTTGTTCTTCTCTTGCGGCCAGCATGTCCTCACAACTCTGCTCAGCCTTCAATGCTGTAGAAATCGCCTCAGTGCGAATATCGCCTAAATACAAAAATGAATGTGAGTAGCTATCAAGCTTTGAAAAAGCAAGTGCAGGCTCTTGATAGACTTTCATTTTCAAACGAAGGAAATTTCGGAGTGTAGTACTATCCCGGAGCCTCATTAAAATCTGAATGTAGAGCAATACAGAAAAAGTTTATTGCAAAACATTCAAAAGATCCGGCAGTTTTAGCAAAAAAAATTCACTTTTGTTTTCCTTAGTTTGGATATTTCGGTGCTTAGAACTTGAAGGCAGTACAACAAACGGAAGCAGGATCGCTGAGGGAGGCTAAGCACCGAAATATCCAAAGGAAGAAATAAAAAAATAAAAATTTTGGGCAAAAACTTCTGGATCTTTGGGGTTTTCTGCAGCGCACGCTCAAGCTCTACGAATGACTGAAAACGAAGGAGAGTCCGCGACGAGAACGGATTAGGTGGAATTCCACTGATTGGGCCCATCAGCGAAACGCGCGTTCGCCCAAATCGCGCGAACTCCGAAGACGCCATGGGCGAGTCCATGGATTCCTCTGGTCAATTCTCACTTATACTTGTCACTCAGGCTACTTCGAGTAACCTGCAGAACATCTACCAGCAGATTTCAGCTCGTGCTTTGTTCATGACGTAACATTCCGGTACGGTTTTACTAGCGATATAGCATGAGGGAACTGGTATTATCCCCTCAGGACCACAGAACGTCAAACGTGTTCGTTGCTGAAACTACGTCTGAAGAGTTTCTTGGTGAATCGATGAAAAAACACAATATCTATTTTTGAGTTAAAGCATTTTGAAAGATTTTTAGCCCCATTCTGAATGTAAGCATCTTGTTTCTCGAAAGTCTTGATCACGAATATGATTAGCTCTTCGAATCGTGGCCACTCTATTGACTTTAAATTTGGCCCTCAAGTGAAAAGTGGGGCTTGTAGACCTCCTTCTGCGCTCCGAAATAATGGCTGCGTTGGGAGGCTTGGCTGGCCTGGGCGGGAGTCGACCTGGGATTCGAACCCAGGACCGCACAGTGGTGAGCGAGCCACTTGTCACTACACCACCTCCGCCTCCCCCCCCACTTGCGCAATGTCAAACAATTGGTAAAAAGATGAAAAAGCAAAGACGTCGCAAACACCACTCTTACATTATCACGAGGGTAAGTGCTCAGCGAGAAACATTTTTCAACATTTTGAAGTGGTATTACTTTAATAGTGCTCAAAAGTTGTCTCATCACAGTTCTAATACTGAAGAAAGAAAATCCAAAGAAAATTTTCAAAAAATTTAAAAAACTCACCATAATGATCACTTGGGAATGGATTCTCGCCAAAATTCGAGACCATTTCCTGCATGAAAACGGCTTGAGATCGCTTGCATAGTGCCGAACTGACCAGAGATGGGTCCATATTTAGCTTCAGATAGAGGTGTGATGTTCTGAACTTTTGAAAAATCAATTCCGTAATTCAAACGTTGGAGCTCGCGGCGAACGCATTGCGAACGCAGCGCTGGCGTCAACCACCTTGGAGCGCGAAAACTTCAAAAACCCTCTGGGCTGGAAAATCAATTCCAAACGATTACTAGTTGCACTTATTCTTTTAGAACTTTCTAACTCTGGATTGCTTCACCTTAGTTCAGTATGTACCAGTAAGGTTGGAACCGTGTCATTGGACATTTACTAACGTGGCTCATAAACGCATTATTCTACTGAACTTTCGCAGTTTGCTGTTGCATTGCGTTGAAACTACTGCAATAGAATTTTCATAAAAAGTTGTACGAGAGAGCTCACGTTACTGATAGATTCAGATCATCTCATCGCAATACTTCCACATCGGCTCGAGCCTTGATAGTTCGCGTCAGGGAATGTCGCCGGTGACTCTCTTACTTCTCATTCTCCTCCACTTTGACTAAAGTCCCTGCGTTCATGTAGTGTTCAACACCTTCCTTGGACATGGTGGTCCTACCTACAAGTATGCATGATTATTACTTTCGCAGCTCAGAAATACGCGAAGAAAGCTCCGCCCGCCTGAGACGGAACTGCTATTCCGCCCAGTGAGTGGGGCAACGCCCTACTTTCATTTCTGAAGAATTTCTGGTGGGGCGATTGTTCCGCTAATAGCTCTCTTCATTTCGAGTGGTGAGAGTAAGGAGAAAGATCTGACACCAACAAGTAAGAACTCGTCCGACCACGCCCACTCTTCCGGCCTATTCACGTACAAGCGCACTTTGGCATAGGATCGGGCCATTTCCACAGTTTTACTTTTCTGCTTTGTCATTTTCCTTCACTGTGTTACTTATCACTATGTAGATAGTGGTGTTTGGGCCGCTTCTCATCAGCGTACCTAAAAATACACACATAATGGCACGTATCTATCCGCTAGTCCTACACAGCCGTGTTGGCACGAATCGATCTGAAGCGTTGAGGTATTGAGGAGCCGTGGAATTGGAAAACTGAAGAAATTGTTAGATTCGTATATTCGCATGCGCGCTTCAACAAGAAGGCAGAGAACGGCTTTGATGGGGTGACACACTCGTGGGTATATGACTAGAGAAGCAGGGCACATCATTGGTTGGAGATTTTAGTCGAGTCTGTACGACCCCCCCCCCCTCCGGCCCTCTGTTCCTTCTCATCGAATCGAGCCGTATGTACTACGCATGAAACAGGAAAATCACCAAAAGTCAACCACCACTCCTACAACGCCAAAACGTAAATACGACCCCCCCCCCTCCCAACAATGACCAAGTACGACCCCCCCCCTTTACAACGTCCGTGAAGCGAGAAAAATCAACTATCAAAATAAATTTTTCCCAGCCCAAACGACCCCACCTATTGGGGATTCCCCAACAACGGTGTGCCCTGTAGTGAATCGTAATTCGCCGCGCTGGTGGGCGTCGCGTGCGACGTCGCGCCCGCAAATGACGATGGTTCCAGGTAGTAGATGGCGACAACAGGCAATTCAGAACCGAAAATAGTCATGAATGTCTACGATGACGGGGTCTACATGAAGTCCGGTGCTCCAATCGACAGGTTAACACGAGTTAAGAAAACGCCGCGCCCATCGCCGCGCGCGGGGACGCGGCAAATTACGATTCTCTTGCCCGTCTCCCCACACTCGTACTGCTTGACACGCCCAACCGTCCGCAGGGAACTGGAGTGTATGCATTCCTCTTCGCGGTTTCTTTAGTTCTCCACTTCGTGAATTCTCCACTTTCGCAATTTATGAACACGCTCACAGCGCAAAGCGCGTTCATACAGGGTCGCGCCCTCGCGCGCTCCGCTGCCGTGCGGAATTCTTCAGAATAAGCAAACGTATAACGTATTGATTTTGAAAATTCCGCAGAGGGCGCGAGGCCGTGCTGATATGAACGCGGCTGAATGGTTAAGTCGTCGCGTCATGCTACGAATGAAACTAGATTATTGTTTCTTTATGACAACATGCAACTCGGCAAGCGGGTAGGTGTTGTTGGTAGAAGGTATCTCTGTAACTGTTTTCATATATTGCACGCTAGAATCTTACAACAACGCAAGCTGGGGTGCTCCTCATCAAGTCAAGGCAAAGAGGTTCAAGGTAAAGAAGAGCTCGGTAAAGGAGAGCCCGGCTCAGCCGAAGTGGTACGTCTTCAAGCTGTCCTGCACAGTCATTTCATTTAGAGATATCATATATAATCTACATAGCTAGCATACAGCACACCAGTACCTTGCGCCTAGCAAAAATGTATGAAGTGATTATAGAACCTTTTCTTACTTTTGACCGTCGGCGCGAACACGTGGAGCAGTCGCCTACGTTGTTGTTTCCCTAAATACCAAATACTTTTGCCGAAATTTCGTCCCATGGAGAACCTACGTAATTGTACATGAAATGAAACAACGCCATAAAACCAAGGACGCATGGAATGGGTTTCCCACGGCAGAAATACCCTTCAGATGCCGATTCAGCTCCAAAATTAGTGCCGCACTGAAAAGCTAGCGCTGGAATCCTTCAACCAGCATGGATGGCGCAAAATTTTTGAGTTGCCGCAAATTGAGTGGTGAAGTCTGCTACCCCATAATAATTCAAACACCTCATTTTACGCCTCAACTTTATGCCCATTCGGCCAACTGTTTGGGCACCTGCCGGTATATTTCCGAGTAGGATACTCGCTGCATCCGCCCATTTTATAAAGGTAACCTTTTTCAGCCGTAGAAACAGGATCCGTTAGTTCACATACAAAAGCTTAGGCTGTGGCCCATCTCATCACGCATCCGCCCATCTCATCTTTTTAGAGGCGAAGGGGATGCTATGCCCTACAAGAACTGCATGATTGACCTCAAGATTTAGGATTAAAATGCTCTGCAGCTGGTGAGGAAGGGGATTGTGTACATTGATTCAAATTTCAAACAGGGAGTCTTGTATACTGCATGTGTTCGCTGTGTTGTTGCAACTTACATCTACGGGCAAAGCGCTGCTTCGGAGAAGGTTTTGAGCTTTTCGCGATCTCCCAGAATTAACGAGAAGACCTATATATGCATAAAAAAATCGAAGACCGAGAGAATAGAAGAAGAATCGACAAGCTGATCTGCCCAAGTGAAAAGAGTGGCAGTGCAGACGATACGCCAGCTTCGTCGGCTCGTTAGTTCTCCACATCAATGACCTATCAAATCCCTTTTCGCGGAGACGCGAGATCCGCCCGCTCGGCGACTCGGTCTGCCAATTTCCCCACAGATAGTTACCGAAACCTCCGCGGATGCGCTTCTTTCGCTAATTTCGCAGGGTCGCAGACAATGCCCGGGTGCGTGTCGCTTTGAGGGACTCTCCATTTCTTAGCTTCCCCCAGGGCGATTCCCGGACGGACAAGACAATCGTAATTTGCCGCGCCATTGAGCGGGGCGCATCGTAAGGCGATCCGTGACAAATTCTCGACCTACACCAATTTGTTTAAAGCAAGGGAATCGGAGAGAGGCTGCAAGACTAAGTAACGAGTGAGGTCGATCGTTTTCATACCGTTTAACATCCACCTTATAACGGCTGGGCAGGACAACTCGTCCCCGCGTGTGCGGCGTCCTTCACCACGACCAGCGCACATTACAATTCGCCACATACCCGGATTCCTTCTTCTTCACTTGGACGAGGCCAATAGGACAAATAGGTACATATCGATGTACATCGATGTGGAACTGTATTTGCCGATTCTACGAGCTAGCAGGCGGTGAACACTGCCTGACGTATAGTCTCCATTCAGCAAAACCCTGTTACAGTCATATTCAGGCATCAGTGGAAGGCAAATCTTGAGCTTATTGCGCCGAGTGTAAACCACTAGTCCTGGACAGTGTCGAGTCTTACTGCTCACTCTCGCTTTCGCGACATGTTTTTGAATGAACTGATTCTTGATATTCGCAGACGAATGATTGATTGGTCCTTTTTGATTTTTAGCGTTTTTCAGATGGGGCGTTATATAAGGAATCCCTACGTGGGACAAGAAGCAAAGGCATCACAGCAGGTCACCAATGAATGGCTGGAGAAAGCAATAAGAACAGTTGCTGGGAAAATTATCAATAGAGACATCGATGACGAGGAACTGGATGACTGTGAGTGCGGATTTCATACTTTTGAACTTATCAGCGAAATTTCTGTCGCTTAGACAGGGTCTCTGCGTCAAGGTATTGTGATTTGTAGGGTGTGAAATTCCCTATGTCACCGGGGTGCTGCGTTGGATAAGTTTTGGGAGGTAAGCGAACACGCAAGCCTAGTTACTACCTTCCGTAAAGTAAAGCTGTTCGCAGTAGCGAGCAATGCTTAATATTAGACGACTGCTAGGGAATGTAATACCAAATAGGTGTAAGTCAAGAGTCTTCCTTGGTGTCATCGCGCCGAAATTAGGTCACCACGCGTTGCGTGGCTGCACGCCAACCCTGAAGGACTCCAGACGCACACCCGCTCATCAAGGCAGGTACAGCAAGTTTGTTACGGCCAGACAAGGTTGATTCTCAATATTTGGCCGAGAACCGCCATTCAAAAGTGGTCTGACTTTACCGCTGTAACAAGCCCATAATTCACTACTGTAGGTCTCAGAGTGCGTTCATAATATGCATCAGCGTCTTTGAGCTGGAAATGTGTAGGTATTGATCAGCTGTTTTGAGCACATGCCAGCAAACGCCAGCGTACGCTGGCGTACGGCTCATAGTATGAACACGCACCTGTTGGTATAAGGTAGGCGCGGGTTAGCAGCACATGCGAGAGGTATTTGTCGTTGGCGTGGGTCCTAGTCTGTGCCAAGGTATCCATACATCTTCTTAGACTATTTTCGCATTTATGCCTGTGCACACTCAATTGAGCGTCTCTTTTGCGGTCGCTTGATTTGAATCACATTTGAAGAGTAAGCTATCGAGGTGGTCCAGCTGTGAGACTATAGAGTAGTGGTACATCTGAATGTGCCTCATTGAAGGAAGAGTGATGAAGCATTTCAAAACTTTGATAGATATCAGCTGAGTGGTAGGAGTGTATTAGCTCCATCTGAATCACACTTGGAGAAACTTGAGAATCATGGTGAATTGTAATTGTAAGTCTCGCAAGCGGAGAGGGAGCACGGCTAGCAGTCTGACATGTTTTCCTTTTTATCAGTCATTTCCACGCAGACCCTCATGAAAGTTGATGGCGTCACAGAAACGCAAACTTTTTTGCAACCATTTAGTCTCGTTTTTTCAGTTGGCCCTTATACTGGACTGTCAGGCGTAGCCTTCGCCTTACATAAAGCTAGCCCTATTGTTGGATCTGCTGCCACATCTATGGCGGAACAGCTTTGGCGCCATTGTAACAAAGGATCGCGAAGTGGGCTTTTCTCACTGTTACGGCTCAGTTCAGTTCGTTTTCATTTTCAGTGGTTTTATTGGTGTTTTTTAACGCAGCATTATGAAGTTATCTAGCGAATAGTACTCCCGTGTAATCACACGTTCACTTCTCGGTCCAAGGACGGAGGAGTGGGTACAACGAGGCATTCATCGTAATTTTAACTTGAATTTACTTTAATTTATTGCTCGTTCTCAGCCCTTTTATAGGAATTAAGGCAGGTCCCGCGTTCACGTAATGCGCAGACTTCCTTTCTCGGACAACGGTCTGATCCGCAAGGGTAGAGAAGGTACCATTGTCACGGCTCAAAAACTCATAATAAGGAAGTTAGGCGCTGGTGACAAAGGCGATGCGCCGCCTATTCTGCACCCAGCGGTCATTCGGAAAGGCATGATGGTGCGATTATTTGGCTTCTAACAGTTCCCATTCCCAAAGGTGAAAGTGAAGT